TCCTGAAAGATTGTTAACATACAAGTAAAAAAATTTAAGGGTCACATCGAAAATCAGGACTTCAGTAGCACTAAGAGACCTTGGAATAGATCAAAAAAGAAAACAAGCCCTCAGTTTGGGCCAAGGAAGACAGGTTTTGGGCAGGAAGGACATTTGAGAGAGAAAATCCTGCTATCCATCTTAGGCTCTTAGCTTAGAAAACTTTAATTAAAAGATAAGCTTCCAAATTCAACCATAGTCTTTGAACCTTTCCCTTCACTTGGGGTCACACAACTAATTATAGGAGAAGAAACATCAGGCCTCAAAGGAGCTCAGTTACTACTTGCAAAATGTACCTACTCACAAAGATAAATCACATATAGAATATATCTCTTACTTCATCGGTCTCCTTCTCTTTCAATCAAGTTTTGAACTTGTCTTTATCGCCCAAGAACTGGAAAGAAGAAAATTAAAAAAATTATCAGCATAAGCATCCTGTGACACGTTTTTTGCATACTCAAGATAATATCAGAAAGGGTAGAGTTAATTTAAACACGAAGAAGAACCTCATCAACTCTTTCTTTTGGAAGCCAAGGTTTATATTCCTCCCAGCCTTGAATAACCTGCAAGATTCCCAGAAAAGAAAGATTAATTTTACATGAAAAAAGATATTTATACGTTAAAAAGCTGCAAACTGAATGGAATTGAATTCCTTAGGGAGAGGGATAGTAGACCGCTGAATTACAATCTCACCAGAAGCCTAGATTAGCAAAGGATATGATAGAGATAAGAATAAGATCAGCTATCAAAATAAATTGAACAAGAAAAGAACAAAAAAAGGAAACCAAAAAAACCAAGTTGGGTTCCCCAAAAAAAAAACGGAACGCAAACAAGGGCAAATTAAAAAATTGGGTGTCATCTATAGAAAATTTTATGTTATGTTTGGAGATGAATTGTTTTAGCTTTAGCACACGTAGAATCTGCAGACGATGATGGTTATTTACCATATCAATCCTGCTTCATTTAAAACTACATTTTTTCTTCCCTTCATCATGAATGGTCATAATCTGAATAGTATGGGGAGATAAAATCAATACATTATTGAAACATGAATATGTTACTTCAACAAATTAATGCAGTTAATATGTAAGCCTACCAAACTAAACACTACATACCTGCTGCAATTGACCCAGGTATCTTTGGGAGTATTCTACTGCTGTTGGCCGTACAGTTAGTTCTTTATATCCAAACAATCATAGAAAAATTATTTAAGCAGTCACCTTGAGCATTTAAGATGTGTGATAGAAGAGGCTTAGGTTATACCCAATTCAACTTAATGAAGCCTATATCCCCAGAAAGTAGGTCATACCAGAACACTATCGGATCACCAATATCTGTTAATGAATTAAGGCGTTCTTGAAACTCTGTAGCTGTGGCTTCTTCTCCATCAGTGTATAGCCATTCTTGAACCTTAATTAATACACATGCTTATGTAAAAAACTTAGAAGTAAGACCAAAAGGTGAACTATCAAAATAACATAGGAAAAGAAGAGCTAACCTCATCAAGCTTTTCCATAAAGGATTGGCGTTCATCTACAGAAGACATTTTCTCAAATTCTTCAGATTCAAGCTGGTAAAGCAATAAAGAAATCGAGAAAAAAAGTAAAGTTAAGCTATCAGAAATGCCTTTCTTAGGATAATTAAACAAAGTAAACAGATTCTCTCAGAAAATGTAAAGAAATAAAACGACAATATATCTTGGGAAACCAAAAGGAAAACAGCCACTTGAAAAGGCAGAATAATCAACAAGAATTATTAAAAATAAAATAATAAACATTTGAAAAAGATATACCAATCTAATACAATGCAAAAACTAAATAAATGAAACCGAAAAAAAAGGGTAAAAGATAAAACCCATTAACTCAAATGATTCAAAACTTCCA